AAACACTCCTTTCTTTATATCCGCCTGGTCTGTTGTAGGTGTGGGTTACCTTTTGCTTGCAGCCACATAAACTCTCCTCGCTTTATATCCGCCTGGTCTGTTGTGGGTGTGGATTGCCTTTTGCTTGCAGCCACACAAACGCTCCTCTCTTTATATGCGCCTGGTCTGTTGTAGGTGTGGATGCTAACGGGTGACAAGCAAGAGACGGCGATCAACATTGGATACTCGTGCCGACTTCTGACAGACGATATGAACGTGATGGTCTGTAACGAACCGGACAAGGAGAGGTGCGTGCTCGTGTGTGGTCATGTGTTCCTCGCAGATACAAAGGCGTGTGTTATAGTGAAAGGGGTGTTATCGGGTGATTAAGGGTTGTATTTTGAGATGCGTCGCTCACGAGATTAGGACGCGGTTGTGGTTGCTTAGGATGTGACATTGACGTCTCAGGACGTATCTTTATGATCCTGTTAGGGTTCGTCTAACCCAGATTTATGTTTGGGTCAATTAACTCGGTTTTATTTGTACTGTACAGTGTCGCGGGGTGGCTGTCAAACACGGTAGAGGAACTAAGAAAGGTGCCTGATAAGGAGAGCGCTGGACTGGCTTTGGTAATCGATGGAGCGTCGCTCACCCACGCACTGTCGGAGGAGCTCAGGGGCGATCTATTGGAGGTATGCGATGACATATATGGCTATGAATGTAGTGCTGATTAGTTGTGTGACGTATATGTGTCCAGGTACTATATCCACCAGAGTCTTTGTTCTACATCTGTAGCCGTGTATGTGTGTACGTGTATGAGGGTATCGCTAGTCTGGCTCTGGTCATCGATAGAGTCACATACCCACGAACTGAAGTGCGATCCATTGGAGATATGTACAGAATATCAAGATCACAGATGCAAGGTCATTGACGACATTGCCTGGGCAGATACGTTTATGTGTCCAGACGTTTTAGGCTCTTTCGATAGTGAGCATGTTTATCCTGAGTCATTCGATGAATAGAGAGTACCTTTTAGGCTTGTTCGAAGATAGTAACCATGTCTACCCTGAGTCATTCGATGAATAGAGAGTACCCTTTAGGCTTGTTCGAAGATAGTAACCTTGTCTGCTCTGAGTCATTCGATGAATAGGGATTACCCTTTAGGCTTGTTCAATGATAGTAACCATGTCTACCCTGAGTCGTTCGATGAATAGAGATTACCTTTTAGGCTTGTTCAATGATAGTAACCATGTCTACCCCGAGTTCTTTCGATGAATAGAGATTACCTTTTAGGCTTGTTCGAAGATAGTAACCATGTCTACCCTGAGTCGTTCGATGAATAGAGATACCAATCACAACTGTAGTATACTTTCTGCAACATCAACTCTACTGCACCGCCACGCGCGTCCCTCGTACGCACTCACTAATACCTACACAAGCACAACTGAATAATTCATTCACTATCGCCTGCATAAAGGCAACAGCTTCATCTGCGCATACGATTGATATACCTACACCCTCTGCTACTCAGGTATCGCTAGTTTGCAAGGCTGTCATCTGCTGCCGGGTGTCTCCACTGCAAAAGGCTGAGGTGGTCAACCTGGTTAAGAATCGGTGCAGCGCCATCACTTTGGCTATCGGCGATGGGGCCAATGACGTGTCTATGATTCAGGCTGCACACGTAGGCATTGGTATCAGTGGACAGGTACGAGAATTACACACACTGAGAACTCTAATGGTGTTTCCTATCCATCAATAATGCACCCTGTACTACTGGTTTTCTGCGTCGCGTTTGTCTTCAATTTTCATGTCTGCGAGTGCATCTGCGTTATTTGGGTCTGTGTTTGTGTGCGAAATATCATTTTACGTTGCGCACACATTTATACCGTGGTACGCTACGTTTATCGAACGTATGCAAGTATCGTACGTATGCGTTACAAACGACACCTATACGTTCACACACCCCTTCCCAGCATGTACATCACCATTCGTGAATACATACCCTTATACACATCATCCTTTGCATACTCACAGGAAGGTCTGCAAGCCGCGAGATCGGCTGATTACGCCATTGCGCAGTTCATGTTCTTGCAGCGGCTGTTGTTAGTGCACGGCAACTGGTCGTACCGCCGATGCAGTAAGCTGGTGCTGTACTCGTTCTACAAGAACATCATCCTGTACATTGTGCAGATATGGTTCCAGTTCTTGAATGGCTTCAGGTATACTTCACACCAACCTCACCTCTCTTTGTGTAGTGTCCCGGTACCCGTCTCCGGTTTCAAGATCTCCATATATGCGACAGATGTATAGGCTAACCCAATACGGGGTAGTCCCTCGTCCATGCCTCTCGATATGTATCTTATTGATATCCATGCCTCTTGATACGTAAGTTCACTTCCTTGTATGTATATACATGTCTCTTGATACGTATTTTATTGAGTTTTGCGTATACCCATGCCTCTTGATACGTATATTAATAAACCTTGCGTATGCATGCATTGATCCTAACTCCCTCTCGCGTCACATTCTCGCCAATGACAAACAGTGGCCAGACACTGTTTGACAATTGGATGGTCGCGCTGTATAATGTGATGTTCACGATTCTGCCGCCGCTGTGTCTGGGTGTGTTCGATCGGCACGTCAAGGCCGAAACATTGATGAAAATCCCCCAGGTGAGTGACTCATTTGATGGTTCATTCAGATCTTATATATGTATATATATGTATGTATATATATATATATATATAAATAGTATGTATGTGTGTGTATGTATATATATATATACATATATATATATATATATATATATATATATACATATACATATACCATTCTCACTATATTTTATTGCAATTGGACCTGAAAACACTTTTGCCTACTTCCGCGACCCAGCTCTACCGCTCTGGTATCAACAGCGAGTTCTTCAACACACGGGTCTTCTGGCAATGGACTCTCAACTCCGTCTACCATTCCGCGGTAGTGTTCTGGATCTGTTTTGCTGCGTATACAATGGCGGCTGTACTGAGCAACGGACAAGTGGTTGGCCAGTGGGTGATTGGTACCACCATCTACACAGCCATCTTCCTTACTGGTAAGATGCCTTTGCGGTATATGTATATGTATGTATGTATGTATGTATGTATTTATATATATATATATATATGTGTGTGTGTGTGTGTGTGTATTATAATGTATTATGTATGTATGTGTTTATGTATGTATGTGTATATATATATATATAATATACATATATATATATGTATGCATGTATGTATGTATGTATATATATATATATATATATATACATGTATGTGTGTTTGTGTATCTGTCATGGTTGATATACAGTGCAGTACGTTGTTCTGCAGTAGTGTTTTGGATGTGTTTCCTTGTGTTGGGAAACGGGCAGTGTGCCAGTGAGTGATTGGTGCCTCCACTTACTCGGCCGTTTTTTTTCTTTCAATTGATACGGTGTGTTTGTCTGTGTATGCGTTTCTGCGTGTATATGTGTTCTGATGTTTATGATTGTAAGTTTGTCCATGTATATGTGATTCGGATAATACATTAGCTAAAGGTGTACCTGTGCGCACACGTGTATGGTTTTTGTTTGTTTGTTTTTTGATCAGATATCTCTGTGGTTGTTGAGTGTCTGTTAGCATATCGTTCTGTAAATATGTGAAACCAGTATGTAGTTCGAATAACACGAGGTTGGTTAGTCTCTGGAGATGTCCCTCTGGGAGATATAGTGGTAGTCATTTGCTTTTCATCATACAGTTATGTTTTTAGTCCCCTCTAAAAGACTATTATCAGTTTTCTGGGGTATCCAGGGGTGTGGGTTTTCATTTGGCTAGGCTCTATCTGGCATCTTCTATACTCCCTCGGAACTCTATCCCATACCCTGTGCTGTGGCCTCTGCACATAGCCACGCTCTATATCTGCCATATGCTAGACCCCTATTGTTTGTTCTGCAAGTTTTTATTGGGCAACGCCTTCTCTGGCACTCTTCTTAACCGTCCGGAACGCTAACCTATACTACTCGCCTACTTCTACACACAGCCGAGCTCAAGATTCACATTACTGGGATCGATTGATGTTGACTTGGCGTGTTTTACTTGTAACGAGTCATACACACTCTGAACCGTAGCCATGCCATTTGCTTACCTCCACTTACAGCCACCCTCAAGATCTGCTTAATCATGGACGCCTGGACAAAGTGGACACACGTGTCTGTGTGGGGATCCATCCTCATTTACTTCCTCTTCCTGTTTGTGTATTGTGTGATTTGGCCTGGCATGGGCTATGACATTGCTCAGCCTGTGTACATGATCGAACTGAAGATGTACGGCAGCGCTGTGTTCTGGTAAGTTATCTACACCTCTTTGATATGGCTAATTAACGTATTGCTTACGATAGTTCTCTCGGCGCACAGAGTGTACTCCATCTGGTCCTCAGATGTTTCAATTGGCAGTCAACAGTACTGACACAACACCCCTAAAGTACAATCTCCGTTGTAATAATCTTGCACATCAGGTTCACCATTCTCATCGCCCCTCTGATGGCCAACTCGAGAGACTATATCTGGAAAGCTTTCCACCGTTTCTACAATCCTGAAGACTATCACATTATCCAGGTATTTGAAGGGGGAGAGGTCGTCCGTGTTCTTTCATTCTGAGACCCGTCATACCTGGGCAAACGCCCCTTGTGTATTGACTTCTCTCCACATTCCCAGCTGTGTTTCTTCTGTCCCGGCGTATTCCATATTTTTCACATATGTTGTCTTTCGAAAGGTGCGTTTATTGTACTTGCTTGTCTCGACAGAATACCATTCGTTCATCACATCATCTCACATGTGTCGCCTCAACCTTTGTGTGTGGCTATGACTAAGTGTTTGTTGTTATGACTATGTGTGCGTTGCTATGACTTGGTGTTTGTTGCTATGACTAGGTGTGTATTACAACTCATCATTGGGGACACTCCTCATCCTGTGAGTATAATCTCTTAGTGTAATTTATTCTCTCATGTGTGAAACTCCATTTGAGAGTTATGTTTCCTCAATACTTTGTCTTCCTTTCGTTTCAGGAAATGGAGAGGCTGCAGAAGGATCCCATGCTCATGAAGAGTGCCTTCTCCTTCAAGAAGGTCATGCGCAAGATACAAGGTAAGTATCTGCGAAGCACGCAGCGGCTCCTCCAAGGTCTAGTGCCTGTGTCTAGTTGTTATTACACGTATCTCGCTGACATAGTTGATTATTTTAAATACATCTACACTGACACACGCATAAGCTCACCGCTATCCATCGACTATACCCAGGTGTTACGACATATGTATCCAGAGGATTCGCCTTCTCTCAGGAAGAGAAGCACGGACACGCTCAGGCTGTTCCCACTGTCACCCGGCAACAGTCACAGGATGGGCATGTGGCCGCCACACAGACTGTTGGACAGGTGTGTGAAGTTGTGGTACAATTGAACCAAACCGGGTTGTGCACGTGGCTATACGGATGACTATGCAGTGCTCGCATATGAACGCTTGAATGAATACGATGCACGGGTGCATACTTGGGAGTTGTTTGTGTAATTCTGAATGACAGTACCATGTATTGCGTTTCCTGTGTGTACACTACTTTGCGTCTGTCACAAGATGGTCATGTGGCCGTCACGCCGACGGTTGGACCATTGTGTGAATTAGTAGACAAATGATTAACGCTGGCTTGTGGAATAAAAGTATCGATGCATATATGTGCAGTTGAATGTGTGCGGTGTACTGGAGCATACTATGTGTTGGTATATGAATGGCAGTATTGTGCTTTCTTTTCTTCTTTATGTGCTACGCAGTGACACGATACGGGCAAGTGTGTGTGTTAGTGACCCAATGGAACATAGTAAGATATGTTCGTAAATGTGCGGATAAATGTTTCCTTGTGTCTATGTTACTTCATAACAATCACAAAACGGGCATGTGACGGCCAAGTCTGTTGGACAGATAGGCGCATGGGATAAATTTCGACAGTGTTTGAACACGAACTTGACGTTCAGATTGACGACATATGAAATCTCTTAGTACCATCCTTTATAGGTATCATTATTCATTCATGTCGAATACTCGTAGTTGGCCTCTTACACAAACTCTTAATACCATTCTGTATATATATCATTATCTATCCATGCCCAATACTCGTAATTGGCCTCTTACACGAACTTTTAATACCTTCCTGTATAGGCATCATTTTTCATTCATGTCTAATTCTTGTTTTGCGCTTGGTCTCGAGTCTCAACAACAGTGCTATTGACCCTTTTGTCGCGTGCGCCAATCCACAATAGTATTCTCGCCTGGTAGTTCTGATGTGCTTACACCACGCGAATCATATGTACTGTTAAAAGCGGTCTCTTTAGACGGAAACGTAATTTTAAAGACCCTCTATCATGATATATTCTACAGGCCGAGCTCATCCGTCAATACGACACGCGCGAGGACAAGCCCGATGGCATCTAAGTTTTTTGAAATACGTTATGGCCTGGAATACGTATTTCCCATGTGATACATATCCGCCTCTCCAACCGAACTGCGTACCTACACTCCCATCCAGGGGAATATCTGTGGATTAGTTGATCTAGTCATGAATATGTGTGGATTAGATGAACTGATCACATCACTATAGTTATGTATTAGCTGAAACAATCATTTGTATATCGATTTATGTTATTCCTTTATAATAAATTTTGAATGACTCTGAATTGTGGCTGGGAAACCAATCTGTGAATTCTTGAAAATAATCACTATCACTTTGCATCAGTTGAACCAATCATTTGTATACCACTTTACAATATTGTTGTACATATTATATTCAAATTTTGACAACTTCAAGAAAAATGACAAGAAAAATGACAAGAAAAATACTTGTAGCTTGACAGACAACATCTCTTATTCAACTCTGGATCGTGCTGTGCGCATACGCGCTGGTTGTTCTACTTACTGTTCTGGTAAAGTGCAATAGCCTACGGGTAGTGTATTATAATATAAGCTTCGATTGGCAACGCCAACAGTATAATATTACCCCAGTTTATCTTTGGTTTTTTTTTCCCTAAAGTACCGAATTCTTTTGGGGTCGATTTGTGCTGGATTTGTTCTGTATGCTTGGCACATTTATATATTTTTCATTTAAATTTGTTTTTGCCAATTTATCTTTACTCAAAAGATTGTGGAGAAAAGTCTATTATACCTCTGATAGCAAACACATAATTGCTATGTAGTACACCAGATATGAATGATTTTTTTATGCGTTCATTCCAATAACATAAATGCCGATATTTAAAAATCAAAAATTGAACATATACATATCTGATACGATATGTGTCGGATGCTCCGCACTATACCAGACGAGTATTTTCGTTCACATTTACAATTATATAGCAGGTACATTCATACATATTAATATAATTTTGTGGTACGTATTACAATTGTTGTAGTAAGAAAATTTCTTTTTTAAAAATATGATCGGGTATGTACATAAAGGTATTGACATTCATAAACTTTTAGCATATATATCAATATCCAAACTTGACCACAATGTGTGTACCATATCACAATTTGTGACATTAATCAAATATATATATCTCGACCAGGTGTGGGCATCCGGGATACGCTCCGGAACGCCAGTTAGGTATGTGTGTATATATTTACATAGTCTTTTAAAGGACCAGATGCCGAGCGCCGGACGCCGGGCACCGGGTAGCACGCGCGGGGCACTGCGTCGACAAATCAGAGACTGGGATAAAACAGGTCCCTGTTTATGATACTGTAAAATATAAATCAAACAACTGTGGTGCCACTTGTATGTTGAAGAAGAAAACGTTGAAAACTAAAGTCTTCATTTTCAATATTTAATATAGCTTGAATGCGTATGCAAGTTCATAGGTGTACTGGGTATGCGTTCAATTTGTAGTAGAGCGCTGCTGTATATATATGGGTAGTGCAGGGTAATTACAACTTTGCAGACTCGAAAATTGCAAAGTGCCTACTGCCAACGAACTCAAATACAGCGCGTGATAGAAAGTGGTCAATACTTACGATATATCTATTTGCAGATAATTTTGTCGATTGATTCGACCTTTTATTGCTTCTGATAGTGACAGACGCCAAATAAAATTTAAGAACAAGAATCTAGCAGCTACAACTTCTAAAAGGTTATAAATTTGTATGAATGATGAAAGGTTGCAAGGTTATCCGAAGCTAAAGAATGATGCGTACCGAGAAATTCTTTCCTGTATGAGTGAAAGTTAGGGCATTAATTACTTCACCATCTGTGAAGCTCTCAGCAGACATCAATAACTTGTGCGCCAGGCGAGGATCACGTCATCATTTCCACACATAAATCCTCGGCCTTCCCACCAGCGCATTCAACTGCCACTGATAGACCTAGCGACCACTAGAGCAACGTCAATTGCAACTTTTGTTCTTCAGACGTTTTAAAACCAACGCCTGATGCCTTCAAGCCAATTGAAGAGAATGATCACTCGTTATGCTACTGTATCATTGTCGTCTGTGTATTCTGGTTGCGATCCCAAAATGAACATGGTCGTACGTATGCCACAGACTACTTGCCGGGACCATTGCGCTAGTTACTTCTTGTTGGTTTGTATTCGGCGAGAAATAATTTTTGTTTGGGCTACCATATAATCGAACTCTGCTAGAATTTTTATATTATCAGCTCTATTCGAATAACTTCATCTTGTCCATGGTGTCGACAATAAGCGACTTACAGTTGATTGGGAGACTGACTTACTCAGATTCGTTCAAGCCGTTCCTCATTACATGGGAGACCTAGCAATACACATCAAAGATCAATACGATGCGCAGACGAGGTAGATGTATTATGAGCATCGCTTGCGCCGTGAGCAGTGGCATAGAGCTGTAACCACACACTTCAGTAGGATGAAGGACCAGCACTTAATACATTGTTGGACAGATCGGAACAAGTGCGAATATTCTAATACATATCGGTATTGATGTTTCTTGCCTTGCCATGTGAACGAGAAAAACTTCCCCAAGTTGTTGGTAAATCGTAAATTAGTGCAAAGCCTTTTTTTATCTTGCCTATTTCTGGTAAAGAAAACCCATATTGAGGCATTGGTTTATGGGATGGAGACATATCTGCATCTTATAGGCGCCATCAAATTTGAATTGATCTACTGTCAGAAGGACTATATAGTAAATCTACAGAGATGGAGTGATACTTGCTTTTGATAAGTCCCAGGTTTAAACCTGCCTTTGATCTGGGCCTTGACAACCTTCATTCAACCAATTTATTTACATTAATGAGAAAAAGGTTTGAATAGGAACATACCTCAACGCTTAATGAATAAAAAACTTTACGATACATCAGTCGGTTACTTTTGATCAGTCTGTTCTTTACCATGAAAACATGCAAAGGAAATTGCCGAACTGATGCGTCATTTCCTTAGTTTTAGCTTCAAATGGTTTAGATACGCCTAGTAATTTTTATCAGCCTGGTCTTCATCCTTAGTTTCAATATGATCTAGTAATCACTATACCTAAACTGATGGATATCGTCATTAAGACAAGCTTAGTACTTCTATGAACGTACTATATACCACCAGGTGGTTTCTAACTTCTCTCCTATCATTCCCAAGTATGTGTGCGTGGTCGATATCCTCGTTGCGGTTTAGAATCTATTGTATCCTAAAATCGAGTTTGTGCGGTCGGTATGGAATTTATTATTGAAGTATACCACGCGGCGAGACACGAGTGTGCTTGAGTCAGATAGGATTGAAAATTCTCACCTTTCTGTCGTCATGGCCCGCGTCTAATGCACACAGACGAAATCATCAGACAGGGAGATATATCTCAGAAGTATCCTCACAGTCAGATCCATGCCATATCGATAATGTTCTAGCAGTAAGAGCACTATTCAAGTAGTCGCCACCAATGGGGCTACAGATTGTAGCCACGCAGCTATCGTGAAGTGTGTTCTTTCTTCCCAATATTGTGTCTTGGTTCAAAATTTTCTTCACGGGTGTTTGCAGAGCAAATGTTTTTTTCACAGCCAGATCATTGGCCGAGGTCTGGTTGAGCTGGGAGACGTATTGGCAGTTTGAGTGTCGCTAGTGTGACAAAGAATTCAAGTGAAAGGCTGTTGTTAACTTACTAAATATAAATTTGACAACGTACGAGCCCAATCTCTTATGCTACTTTGTTCTCATGAATCTTCATGAACAAGACAAGAGCTAATTGATCCATTACTTCACACATTTATATCAAGTATTCATTTGTGTAGGTGCAACTACCCAAAATTGTGAATGTATCATATAGTGAGTATACGCCTCACGCGATAGTGGCGATAGCGAAAGACTTTCTTGAAATTATTTTTAAAAAGTTCTCGATAGTAAAAATCTTCAAAGAAGCAGTACCATTTCTTTCAATTCAAATAGAATAAAAATACGATCGTTGTTTACATTCTTCATTGCAAAGACAGACAACTATTTTATAAAGATATATTTGCATCAGAAATAAATGCAGCATTTGCAGTACGGACTAAAGCTTTAAAAGTATCTACAAAACTTTATTTACGAGAGACGTCAAGTACTATACAGCGCTGGCGGCTTTTACTATTAGTTCGATTCGTAGATATTGGGAGTCGAAGTATAATTTGGAATTGCTACAAAAGTATTGAATGGAAATAGTGGTTTGTGGTCAACAGAAACTTTTGAGAACGTATAAATTGAAGCGAATTGAAGCAAATAGTTTTGGATTACTTCTTCTAGCTTCAAGATTCACGAGTATTAAATTGTAGTATTTTTAATACGGACTGAAGCCTTTTTGAGCCTCTACAAACTCTTTTTACAAGAGAAATTGAGGGACTCTTAAGACTACGGCTGGTATGACTAACTCTTAAGACTACGGCTGTTAAGCGTCCCGTTAAGACTACGGCTGTTAAGTGTCCCGTTAAGACTATGGCTGTTAAGCGTCCCGTAAAGACTGCTTCTGGTAAGTGTCCCGCTCTCACCTCCCTCCAAGTTGAGCACCCCTCTCTCGCCTCCCTCCAACTTAGCGTCCCTCTCTCGCCCCCCTCCAAGTTAGATGCCCCACGCTATAATAAATTTACCCAATATGCGTACAACTCGGACTAAAAAAAAGGTTGCACGCAACATTTTATTCATAACGGACACACATCACATACTGCCATAATAATCTCTAACAATTTATGCTACATAGCCAACATATAGCGCATATATCACATACTGCCATACCAACACATGTTACATCATATGCTACATAACCAGCATATATCACATACTGCCATATCAATATATGCGCCATATAATGTCAATCAATTGCATATATAGTGTATATATAATGACTAGTGCAACAGGATCATCATCCATATTTGACTTGTGTAATACAGTATACTTGAAGTTTGTACGATGGCTAGTAAGCAGGCTACACCAGCTACACCGAAAACCCACGAGAATGTCCCCCAAACGAGAACCGAAGTCTAATAATCCGTATTGTACAAAGTATGATGATGATGAAGCCGCAACGATGAGGATAGCAGCAACCGTAAACGGAAGTTGTCTTGCCACAACAGCGACCGACCAAACAAAACTCTTGACCTTGGAGGTAAGGAACCCAAAGGTAAGGAGGAAAAGCAAAAGCCAAAGGGTCTGGCTAATCTGACCTATGACGAGAGGGTTCATGCGCACGAGCACGAGATAAAGACAGGTACCCTATTTTTACTACCCGATAGGAAGCTGTACCGTGTTCAGAATGTGGAGCAGAATGGCGATTGTCTTCCAAGAGCTGTGTGCAAGCATCCCAAATTGAAGAACATGGTGAGGGAAAACGTGGCGACGTGTGACAACGATCTATTTTTGGAGTATGCACAGAATCTATTCTTTTCCAGCGAGCGTGACTGGAAAGCAGCCCTTGCAAAATGAAGGTCTGATATGGTTAAGTCTGGCACCTGGATGGATGATTTGTGTTTCTTAGCCATGGTAATTATGTATGGCATTGATATCTGTACGTGGCGCGTGAGATGTAATAGTAATGTGGGATTGACGACATCTAGATACTTAACTTGGAATTTGACGTCCAGAGGTTTTGGGCAATTGGCTTATTCTGATGAGGTTAGAGGTCACGTGGATGCCTGCCTCGCAGCTGATAGGATTCAGATCAACATCTACTATCAGCCCCAACTTCACTTCATCCTCGCCCCCAGCTAGATAAGCGTACCACTCTCGCCTCCCGCTGGCTCAAATAGCAATTTGCGCACCGCTGCGCACACGTGCATGCGTAGATGCAATTTTATGTACACGGATAAGCACGCGCGCATAGTCACGTATTGTACATACATCTCATAAACATGTCACGTATTGTACATACGTCTCATAAATATACCTCTAAATGTTATGAGAAGTTATTTTTTGAATGCAATGAATGCGTATTTTACATCGTACTCACTAGCGCATAACTGCGTGCACAAATGAATGATTTGAACGTTAATCATATTACTGTTAAAACACATTACCATATATTCATTTATGTTTGTACTTATAAAAACACCTCTACTCGCCTCTCATATTACGCTTGTATGCATATGCGTGTAAAAGTAAATTTGTGCATCTACGCATATCTGCGCATGCACCGATGCATTTGTTTATTGCTTACATATATCGCCCTTCTCTATCGCCCATATGAATAACAGAAGTATATTTTATCATATGTATTTATATACATTGGACTTTCATATTGTATATACACTTGTTTTAGGAATGCGTGAAACAAAAATTAATTGTGCATTGCTCAGTCCTCTCTCGCCCACCTCTCTCGCCCACCTCTCGCCCCTCTCTCTTCTGTCATATACCTCA